TACCTTTGAATTTATGTAATAAATGTATATTCATAAAATTGTCACCATTTTGGGGCCTAATTAAACATTTTCATTTTTTTTTTTTTGTAATTGATATAAATATATTTATAATTACGTTAATTATATAAATTTCTTACATATTTGTAAATATGCAGAGCTGATCATTAAATAATACAGTGATTGATGCTACAATCTCAATATATGTAATGTCTTATATATGTTTTGCTCAAATGGCAACATGATATTTAATCGAAGTATGTAAAATGATGCGTCTTTATTATTTTATAAGATGTAAATTTCATCCTTTGAGAAATGACTGTAACAAGTGATGTTTTTGTATTTTTATTGTATACTTATGTATTAGTTTAAAACTATTGTTTAGATTTATATTATCGAATAAATTTATTTCTAATGGGAAATCGGTTTGATTTAGTTACTAGATGACCCGACGGACGTTGTCCTGTACCCATGACTACAATTTTTTAATATAATATACTAATATTTACCGTTTACCTAAAAATAATAATTATTGTTTTTTAAATTACTCTTCACGCCAAAATGCATATACATTTATAGTATGAGAGCGATGTTAAATGTAGAACTGCTTTAAATAATATGATGAGTCTCAATTACAACACTATATTGGAAATTGAAGATTTTAAATTGTATAACATAACCATAACATAACACTGGTACTTCATGTTGGATTAAATTAAATTAAATTAATTTAATTTTTTATTATTTTAGATATCCAAAATTGCATCTTAAACTTTTTCTAATCATGAGGGCCGAATTGTATGTATTTTATCTTTACTTTCCCATTTGCTGTTATATAGTGAAATTTTTGCGAATTTTAAAAATATTATGGAAAGATTAGTAAAAGATGCAAAGAAATTATATATTGAAAAAAAAAACTATATTGAAAATTTAATATCCGAATCCTGCCCTCAAATGCGTGCGCTCGTATTTTTCGCATGGATCGCATTAAAGGTAGGACCGGCCTGATTAATACTTAATTTCATATTTTAAGTGAATTAATTTGTCATATCCTATTTATATGTATATCATTCAATCTGCCATACATATACTGTATTTTATATTTTAATTTCTGACACATCTCAGCTGCTTTTTGGCAATAATAATGTAGACATTTTATTTTTCTTATTCATAATCCTAAATTTATTGCACATACATCTCAGTACTTTATAAACACCATACATCCTAGAAAATTTCTTTAACAAACTTCAGAAAGATTTATCAAAATTGGCATGATTGTTTTGAAGGAGTATACAGTGAGTGTTTGTAATTTAATATGAACTTTATATAATAGCAATAAAGCTCAAATTGTTTCTACGTTTGTATGAGAAAAGGAAAAGTGCTGTTTTTAGGGTTTTCCCAGCAATTATTCGTTTTTTTCTCGCCGTAAGAACCATCCTTGGACTTGAACGAACATTTTAAAAAAAGAATTGGCCAAATTGTTTAGTTATGCGCTTACCAACACATTTTGCGATTCATTTTTATATATAAGAAAGATGAATGCTTTATAAATATTATTATTCATATTTTTATTATTTTTAATTCTTTATATAATTTTCGTTGTTTTCTTCCCCATCTCTGATTTCATCTTTCTTCGAACCTAAATTTTTCAGAATTCTGTTTCCATCTCTTGGTCAACAGTTCTGTCTTCCATTTACAATTTCTTATTTATGTGACTTTGACCGAGTTTATAACACTATTGCTTATATAACTATCTAACAAATATAACATTAGATTGGAAAACATTGGAGTTATGGTAACCGTCGCTAACATAAAATTTTTTGCGAAAAATGTTAGTCAGATTCGTTTCCTTTTGGGAAAAAACTAGGGGCTGTATGATTTTTTGATAAAAAAATGTTTGGGATAAAAATTTTGAGACAAAAAAACTTTGGGAAAAAATCATGGACTTTGATTTTTTGGGGGAAAAAATTTGGGAAACTAAATTTTGTGAAAATTTTTTTGGAAAAATATTTTGGACAAAAAAATTTGGACTATCCCCAATAGCCGCAGACAACTGGAGAAAATAGAGGCATCATACCGTTATCTCCCGATGTCCGCGATCCAGAAAGGTCAAGATGAGACGACCGAATCAGGTTCTGCTCCAGCGGACCTCGAAGCATGGTGCAAACGAGAGGCCTGACAGAAGTGATTGACTCTCATTTGAACTAGACACTTGACATCCGAATTGTGCAACTCGAGTGCAACGAAACGTTTTAGTTTTTTTTTTTTTTTTTAGTTTTTATTTCTGTTTTATTACAATATAATATACAATAACAATGATTTATGAGTTTACTACTAAAAGTATTTTACTCTTATTTAATACTACAAACTATCCACTTTAAATTATACATTTTGTTTTAAAAATAAAATAATGGTTTGTGATCGAAAAAAAAGAAAGTTCAAACATTCTTCAAAAAAAATCACAATCTTTAAATATATATTTAATTTACATTCTTTAAATTATTAGATGCTCTTATTTGTGTTGTCCAGAATGTAGTTTGGCATTGGATATTTGCCGTACCATATATCAGGCGTGTACTGTCCGAGGGTTCTAATATTATTATTGGTATGGTCTTTGCATTTTTCGTAGAAGTTTTCCGTCATTTTCTTAATGTGGTTAATCACAGTCGGTATGTCTGCTTGTTCGTGTAAGAGCTTTGTTGAGTAGTAGTGTCCGGTAGTTGGGTCACGTATCAGGTTCAGTATTAGTCTCAGTGATTTGTTTTGTAAAATTTGTAGTTTTTTAATATTTGTCCTCGATGTCATGTTCCATATTGGGGCAGCATACATCAGACATGGCCTGATCAGCGTTAGATATATTCTTCTTTTATTACGCATATTTAATACACTCTTTGTGCTCAATAATGGTCTTAAAAGATTTAGAAGCCCATATGTTTGCGCCTTTTTCTTTTTTATATGTGTATTAAAGTTAAGTTTCCTATCAAGCGTTACTCCTAGGTACTTAACTTTATCTGTCCATTTAATTTTTTGTCCTAAAATTTTTATTTCTATAGGCTTTTCTTTCAACTTATTTCCTTTCCAAAAAATTATTGTTGATGTTGGGGGGTTTCTCAACCCCTTTCGAAGTATTTTATACTTCGAGGAAAAATAAAAAAATTAAATGTATTCAGAAAACAAAAACCAATGGTAAACAAATATAAATTAAAAATAAAGTTCTTCTTAATCCGTAATCAATAATAAACTAAAATATATTCTATATAAATTTTATATAAATGAAAAACAAAAATGAACACTAATTAATATTGTATGAAAATGTTATCTGTTTTGGAAGTCCAAGCCGCGGCAGCTATTTGGTTGGATCTGGAAACATCAGCGTAGTCGGTTGGATAGGTTGAAAAGAAATTCGAATACACTGACAAATAAAAATAACTGTTGACTTGACACACAATAGAAATTTAATCCACTGATAATATTGAACTGATAACAAACACTGAAAGGAACTGAATGTATTGATTGCAAGTAACTGAATGAATGAATTAAACCAAAATGAATGAAAACCACGGAATAAATCAACTCGAACACTGTAAGGAACTGAAAGTAACTGAACGAATGAAAGGCGCGGAATGAATTGATTTGAATGCCAAAAACTATTGCCTGCATCGGCCTTTTATGAGTCAGAATTGCCCGATTGCCTAAATTTGAAACGTATGTCCGAGTAGAAAAACAAACCTTTTACAGGTCCGACAACCTACACAGGTGCGGCGCAAACATTTTCCCCCGACTAAAAGGTTAGCCTTTTATACTTCTGAAAATACTCGAATTGGTACATAGTGAACCTCATGATTAGGAAGGATAGAATTGCCAAAATAAATTCAAACTTTCATTCAGAGTAGATCGGTTACGGAAGCCTGACCTCGCGCCAGGTCCCGCTCTCGCACCTACCACATTCACACAATCTAGATTGCGGAAGTTTTATTTTCGCGCCAGGGTCTAGATTTTTTTTGGACATTTACAAGAATCTTCCAGAGACTATGAGGGGTGTTCTCATCGCCCTGGAGATTGAAAATTTGGCAAAACTATATATAGAAGCAAATATATCATGAGATAGAAAAGTTTTTTTTTTTTTTTTTAATGAATAATTCAGATACAAACTATTGAATAGGTAGGGGGCATAGTTTGACAACAGGCCGCTTGATTAGGGTATTTCCCGTTTTTACCAATGCTACTCGAACCACTCCATCGGGCCCGGAAAAACCTCTTCAACTCTTCCCAACCCCAATGGAGCGGACGCGCATTCTCTTGTTTTACAACTACCAAATCACCCTTTTTAATAGGATTAGTGACTGTATTCCATTTCTGTCGGACCTGTAGCTCGGTTAGATATTCCACATTCCATCGCTTCCAGTAAGAAGCGACAATATCTAACAATTGTTTTCTTTTAGTCAAATTCAAGTTTTCATAGTCAACGGGCAAATCCGACAGAGGCTCTTGCATTAAGAAGTGCGCAGGCGTAAGAGGTTGAGGATCCGATGGATCATTGCTCAGCCAACATAACGGTCTTGAATTCAGTAAGGCTTCGATTTGATTGAGGACTGTATTAAACTCTTCGTAGGATAAAATTTGCAACCCTATAACTTTAAACAAATGGGTCTTCACTGATTTAATATTCGCCTCCCATATACCTCCAAAATGTGGGGCAAACGGTGGATTAAATTTCCATTCAATGTCATGTAAAACCAATAATTCATTGAAACGCTTTTTATACTCTTCGGAATTTAGGAGAAGGAATAAGGAATCAAGAGTATTTTTGGCTCCTATAAAATTGGTTCCACAATCGGAGTAAATACATTTAATAGGACCACGCCGGGCTAGGAATCGTTTCAAGCAATCTAAAAATGTATCGCTTGTTAAATCTGAAGCTAATTCGAGATGTATCGCCTTAGTGGCTAAACAGATGAACAAGCATATATAAGCCTTGTAGGTTCGAGCGCCTCTGTGACGACTCATGGAGATATTGAAGGGCCTGCATAATCAACGCCGACGTTTAGGAAAGCTCTACTGGCTGTTATGCGCGGTACTGGTAAGTCGCCCATGAATGGAAAAATGGGTTTCGGATTCTGTCGAAAAACAAGTTATACACTTGTTAAGACGATTGCGAATTATTGCACGAGCCGACAAGATCCAATATTTTTGCCTCAATAAAGATAATACTAAGTTTGATCCAGTATGTAAATTATTAATATGGTAGTAATCTATGAGACAATTTACTACTTGGTCTTTTTTTGGCAAAAGAAGTGGATTGTTATTAGTTGTTAATCCTAATCTACCTTTAACGCGTAAACAATTATTAGAATCCAAAACCACATTTAGTCGGCAAAACTTCTTCGAACAAGACTTTCCGTTCGTTAATAGTTTGAATTCTTCGGGAAAATGGTTGTTCTTGGACTAATCGAATAATAATTACCTCGGCTGTTTTAATCTGAAGTCAAAAAGTCAAAGTCGGTTTCGATTTGTTATAATTTTACAAAACTTCAATATATAAGCGAAAATTCTTACAAGTTTGCACCAACTAGAAAATTTTTGCGTTAATTCATATAAAGGATTGATCGGTGGTATGACACTCTTTACTATTAGAACGTTAGCTTTTCTTTCTTGATCAATATCTCCGGAAGGTTCAACCGTTTTTGCAGGCCAAGTTGATATAGGACCATTCAACCAATCCGGCCCAAACAACCAATTCTTATGTTGGATAAATTCCTTAGGTCGAAGACCTCGGGAAACACAATCGGCTGCATTTTGATGAGAAGGAATGTGAAGCCATTGTGCATTAGGAATGAGATCCCGTATTTTTGTTACCCTATTGGCTACAAATGTTTTCCAACGAGTAGCCGGTCCTGCTAACCAGTGAAGGACAATCATAGAATCGGAAAAACAGTAAATGGAATCAAAATCTATACTATGTTGGTTATTCGTTAATATAAAATTCAGAAGTTTTGACAGTAAATGACAGGCACAAAGTTCAAGCCTGGCTAATATTGGTTTTTAATCGGTTACACGTGATTTTAAAATCAACAAGAAATTCGGATTGCCAAGAGATTTAATATAAACTACCGCTCCATACGCTTGCTCTGAACTATCCGCGAAACCAAATAATGAACATTTGTTTTGTTTTGACGTTTCGAGATAACGCGGAATCTGATAGTTATTAAGATGCTCTAATTCGGAATATACGGCTAACCATGATGTAATAATAAATGATGGTAATTCCTCATCCCAATCGATTTTTAATGTCCAAATTTTTTTCAATAATATTTTTATCTTAACAACTATCGGAGTTAGGAAACCCAGAGGATCCCAGATTCGCGCTATTACTGAAAGAAGTTGTCTCTTTGTCCATTTTCTCCACGTAAGCTTTATTTCGAATGAGAAATTATCTGATAAGGGATCCCATTTTAATCCCAATACCTTTGTAGAAGATTCCATTTGAAAATCCGATTTAGAGAAATGTTTATTTTGTACATCAGAATCAGAAAAAAGTTTACGCAGATTAGAATTATTAGATTCCCACTTTTTTAATTCAAAACCACCAGACGATAATACAGTCTGCAAACCCTCGCAAATGGTTTTAGCGCTATCCAAGGAGTCGATACTTGTAACCACATCATCAATATAGACATCGTTCTCAAGAATTCTAGAAATAGATTGAGAATATTTGGAACATTCGTCTCGGGATAGTTGTTTGATGGTTCTGATAGCTTGAAAGGGAGATGATGATAGACCAAAAGTTACGGTATTTAATTCATAGATGCCAATGGGTGCATCGGGAAACGGTCTCCATAAGATTTTTTGATATTTTCTATCTTGTTTACGAACCCAAATATTACGATACATTTGTTTGATATCAGCTGTTAATGCTATAGGCCCGAAACGAAAATTTAGAAGGATTGAACAAATGTCGGTTTGTAATTTAGGACCAACATGCAAAATTTCGTTCAAGGAAGTGAATTCTGAATTTTTCGCAGATGCATCAAACACGACGCGTAAAGGCGTAGAGGAACTTTCTTTTTCGACAGCGAAATGAGGAATATAATATCCATTTTTTATTTTAATAAAATCATCGACTTCCTGATCTACCGGACAAATCGACAAAGGATAATTGGTTTTGAGTCAGGTAATCTTCTATAACGGCGGCATATTTTTATGAAATTCGGGATATTTCAAAAATTTATTTTCAAGCATGTGGTATCGCTTTAAGGCTAAATGAAATGATTTGTATAAATTTCTGCCTTCACTTTTAAAAGGCAGCGCTACTACATATCGTCCATCTGGAGATCGCGAGTAGTAGTAGTAGTGTAGTAAAATGGTTTTCGCATAAATCATCGTTAGAAGAGGGGATTATTTCGGGAATGTCTTCTAATTGTAAGAATTTATTCATTTGTAAATGAAAATCTAAATCTGAAACATTACATAAATTAGTAGAAGTGCCGGTATTTTCAAATAAATCAGGAATGGAACCTAATATTAGATAACCCAACCGGGTTTCTAGGGCCACAGGTAATCCTTTATCATTTTTAACCTGATGAGTGCCAAGAATTTCGCCGAAAACATCGCAACCCAAAATTCCGTCGACCTCCTGGGGTGTATGAAAGTTAGGATCCGCTAAAGGATAATTCAGAAATGTTTTGATGGATGAAATCGGAATGGTAATTTGTGGTTGCTTTCCCACTATCTCGTGTACTACGTATGCACAGACCGATAACTGATAAGAATCAATTAAAGATTTCAAAGTGAAATTAACTAATCCAATAACTTTATGTGACGAATTGCCTAACCCGATCACTTGGGTTGATATTGGAAGAATTTGTAAATCAGCCTTTTTGATCACCAAGTTAATGTCACAAAATTTCTATCGCTTCCCGAATCAATAATGTACGTAATAAAATGTTTTCTTTTCTAGTAGTAACTTTACTACTGCTGTCGGCAAATGGTAATATGATGTGCGATTTGTTTTGATTAAATGCGCATAAAACCGTACTATTTGATTTGGAATTAGAAAGATTATTTTGATCCGTACTCGCAAAATTGCTGCCAGTATGCAATAGCGAGTGATGTCGTTCGTTACATAATAAACAGGTTTTATTCGATCGACATGTAGCGTTATCTTATGACCCAAACAATTGTCGCATAAGTTTAATTTTGAATAAGGATCGCCGTTCAGGTATACTCAATGATAGAAATTTTGAACAAGTAAACACTCTGTGTTGTTCCCGACACACAAAGCATTTGTTATCATATTATTTTAACAAAAATGACCGGCTAATTTTAGTGTTTTTGTAATTGGGTTTGTCATTAGTGAAATTGTTGGTCATACCATATACTTGATTTTTGCCTGTTGTGACTTTGAAGAAAATGCAGGAGGTCTTGGTATTTGGGAAACTCACCTTGATAAAAATGCTCGAATTTTTTGTAAAAAACGGATCGAGTTTCGAGAATGCCAGTGACGTAATAAGGAAATCATAGGCGTCGGGAATATTCAATTGGGAGAGCGCTTGCACCGCGGTATCGAATTTTTCAAGGAATGAATTTATTTGTCCAGATGAAATGGTTTTGAATGACAATAGTTGTTTGAAATAATGGTGGCTAAGTACCGTTTATTTTCGTATTTTTTTATGAGCGCTTCCCCAAGATTTGATAATTATTTGCGGTCGGTAGTATAGAATGAAATATTTTTAAAACCGGACCCTGTAACGCTCCTTTTAAAAAATGAAATTTTGAAACATTATCTAACTCGGTATTTTCATGAATTAGTGAATTGAATGTTTCATAAAATAATGGCCATTGTTGAATATCTCCTGAGAATTTAGGTACTTCAATGGACGGTAAATGTTTGTTTGGGTACTATGTCTTTAATTGAAGAACTATGCGCATTTTTATTATCTAATAATTTCTCAGCGTGTTTTATTTTGGCATACATCGTTTCAAGGGCCTTTATTGCGGAATATTCCGGAATGAAACTAGGATTATCTAAATATTTTAATTTGTTTATTTCATCGCACAATTGAATAAATTGTTCACGAGCATTTTCAGTAATATATAAATTTTCAAGAAATTGTGTCTTATTTGAAGATACATCAATCTGTTGCGATAGATCGTACGTTTCTTGCACAATTGAAAAGTACATCTCTCTCTTGGCGGTTAGACGTGCAATTTCTGCACCGATATCGATTTTAGGCGCCATTATATATTTTTGTTTTCTGTATACACCCAATTAATCCTAATAATAATTAGGATCCGGTTCGAAGGACCAAATGTTGATGTTGGGGGGTTTCTCAACCCCTTTCGAAGTATTTTATACTTCGAGGAAAAATAAAAAAATTAAATGTATTCAGAAAACAAAAACCAATGGTAAACAAATATAAATTAAAAATAAAGTTCTTCTTATCCGTAATCAATAATAAACTAAAATATATTCTATATAAATTTTATATAAATGAAAAACAAAAATGAACACTAATTAATATTGTATGAAAATGTTATCTGTTTTGGAAGTCCAAGCCGCGGCAGCTATTTGGTTGGATCTGGAAACATCAGCGTAGTCGGTTGGATAGGTGAAAAGAAATTCGAATACACTGACAAATAAAAATAACTGTTGACTTGACACACAATAGAAATTTAATCCACTGATAATATTGAACTGATAACAAACACTGAAAGGAACTGAATGTATTGATTGCAAGTAACTGAATGAATGAATTAAACCAAAATGAATGAAAACCACGGAATAAATCAACTCGAACACTGTAAGGAACTGAAAGTAACTGAACGAATGAAAGGCGCGGAATGAATTGATTTGAATGCCAAAAACTATTGCCTGCATCGGCCTTTTTATGAGTCAGAATTGCCCGATTGCCTAAATTTGAAACGTATTGTCCGAGTAGAAAAACAAACCTTTTACAGGTCCGACAACCTACACAGGTGCGGCGCAAACAATTATTGCTTCCGTTTTTATGGGATTTACTTTTATGTGCCATTTTTCTGCATATTTTTGCTATATTATCTATGTGATTTTTGTAGCTTGTTAGCTATCACCGCTACTGATTTTGATGAATGTGAAATGTATTTGTTTTGCTGTCAGTAGGGATATCATATATATATGTGTTAAACAATGTTGGTCCTAGCAAGGATCCCTGAGGCACTCCAGCTACTATACGTTTAGGATTTGAAAGATTATTATTTACTTGAACCTGAAATGTACGATCTTTAAGATATGAAATAATGACTTTTGTTATGTAATGTGGAAATTGTAAATTTATTAATTTATACAACAGTCCATCTGTCCAAATTGTATCGAAAGCTTTTTCAAAATCTATTAGTACAAGACCAGTGTGTGTCTTTTTGTTAAAATTTAGTACAGTATTTTCAACTAGCTGTGCTAGTGGATGCAGAACTGAATGCCCATGTTTGAAACCATATTGCGTTTCTGGTATGATATTATTAACACTTAAAAATTTATTAAATCGAACAAGCAGCAATTTTTCAACTACTTTGCTTATTGTATTTAATAGACTTATAGGTCTGTAGATTTGTGGTAGATTTGGTTGTTTTCCTGGCTTTAATATTGGTACCACATTAGAACATTTCCATGACACAGGAAAGTATCCATTTTTAAAAATTTTATTTGTTATTCGTGTAAGTAGGATAAAAGCTTTAATAGGTAACTGTTTAATTGCTAAGTTCTGTATACCATCTGGTCCTGGAGCTTTCTTATTAGACAGTTTCTTAATAATATTTATAATTTCCGCAACAGTTACTATCTCTATTTTGTGATTTTTGTTATAAGTATTGTTTATATATTGTCTTACACTGGAACTAACAGTCTGTTCAAAAGCATTTTGAGTGATAGAAAGATTGTACTGATG